GGAGCTTCATGCCAGGAACAGGGGACAAAGAGCAAGTATGTTTTTTTACCGTGTACAACACTGAGTGAGGCAGGAAGCCACTGGAAGAGTTTTAAGCAAAGGCTAAAAGGAACATGGAGTACAAGGCAACGATGAAGGGTTTCTCTTTTATATTGTGAGGTCAGGGAAGGCAACAATTTAGGTAAGTGGACATGGCAGATAAGGTGACGCTTTAGCAGAAACCTAAGAAAGTGAGCAAGTGAACCACATGAATACATGAGAAGAGTGTTAGCTCGGCAGAGGAAACTGCTAGTCCAAGAGTCTCAATGCAAGAACACATTTGCCGTGTTTGAGGAACAGCAGGGAAGTCAGCTTGGCTGCAGCATAGGTTTAAGGGGGAGTAGACTGTGGGAAGAACAGATTTGAGGGGGAAAAAAAATCAGGAATTTGGTTCCTGATACATCAAGTTCATGATACCTATTAATTATCCAAGTGGAGAGGTTGAAAAGGTAGTTGGATGTATGGATCTAGAGCTGAGAATCCTAGTCTGGAGATTCTGAAAGTCAGTTATATAGATGGTATTTAAAATCAAGAGACTAAATGAGATGACAAAGGTAGAGAGAAGAAAGACTACAAGATTTGAACCCTGAGGTTCAACATTAGAGGTTAGGGACAGAGGAGGAACAAGCAAAGGATTCTAAGAAAGACTGGCCTGCAGAAAGACAGGAAAGAAATCAGAAAAGTATACTATACTGGAAACCAAAAAAAGAAAAAAAACACCAAGAAACATATTTCAAGGACAGTGAGTGGTGAGCTGTGAAAAAAGTCTGCCGATAGTTTGTTTTTTTGGTTTTTTTTGCGGTGGCCTCTCCCATTGCGGAGCACAGGCTCCGTACGTGCAGGCTCAGCAGCCATGGCTCACGGGCCCAGCCGCTCCACGGCATGTAGGGATCCTTCCGTACCGGGGCACGAACCGGCATCCCCTGCATCAGCAGGCGGACTCGCAACCACTGTGCCACCAGGGAAGCCCTGCCGATAGTTTTTAAACCTTAGCTTTTTAAACTACTGGCTTTAACAGCAAGGAAGACGTTAGTGACCTTGACAAGAGCAGTTTTAAAGAAGTGGTAGAGCCAAAAGTCAGGCTGGAATGGGCTGAATGATCAGAATAGGAAAGATAAAGGTAACTCTTTTGAGGAGTTTTTCTATAGAGGGGAAAAGAAAAACTGAGCAGAGTCAGAAGAGATGGGTGGCTCAAGAGAGAAATTTAAAATAGAATTAACAGCATGTTTTATGAGGACAGTAACAGTCCATTAGAGAAGGAAAAATCAATGATCCAGGAGAGAAAGGGACGATTTGCTCGAGCCACATCCTTGAATTGGAACGAATGAGACTAAAATACAAGTAGAGGGATTGACCTTGGATAAGAGCACAAACAGTTCATCCATGGTGATCTACAGGAAGTCAAATTATGTGTGTCAGAGACTAGTAGGTGGACAGATGTGGATTATTCTGATTACTCCAACTTTGTTAGTGAAGTATGAAGCTAAAAGTGATGGAAAAAGAGGTGTTGGAGGGTCAAGTAGAAAGAAAAGTACATAAAATGGATGTCTGATTCAATAATCATTTTTTTCTGCTAGGTATAATCAGCTATTTAATCCATCCATTGATTTCTTAATTTCATTTCTAGAACTTCTATTTCATTATGTTTTAATCTTTTGGGTAATTCTTTAAAACTTCTTGTTTTTTCATACTTTCAAGGCTTTTTATTTAAACACATTAAACATAGTGATTTTAAATTATGTCTGATATTTTCAAAATCTAAGGTCATTACAGGTCTATTTCTATAATCTATATTTCTAATATCTCATTCATGGTGACTTTGTGTGTTTTGACTATCAGCTTATTCTTCCTGACCCTTTATCTTCAAGAATTCTTTAGGGCCTGGGTTGAAAATAAATCCCTCCAGAGGGGATGGATATTTGCTTTTACCAGTAAACTGGCAGTGTACCAACCTGAGGCTGCTACAAATTAAATTTCCCACTTAAAGCTTTTCCCAGTACAGGTGGCATGAATTTGCCCTGTATAAGGGCTGGCTCATGGTTAAAAATTCTCAAGGCAGTTTTTTTTTTCCCTTCCCCTAGCCAAGTTTCTTCACTTTCTCTTTACTTGTGGTGGGTTTCATTTCTCATTTACCCCTGTATTGAAGATGCAGCTCTGTGGAGCCCAAGCTTTATGGTGGGGCCTCCTTTTACTTCCCTCTTTGGGCAGACACAGGCTTTATTTGTTCACTCCACTCCATGCAGTTGTTAAAGCAGAAGGCTCAAGGTGTTCAGAGTTCGGGGGAAGTCCTCAAGGTAATGGGACTGAAGCAGCACTGTTTGAGTCTCAAGGTTCTGGCTTTCCATCTTGGGGGGGTGCGGGGCGGCTTTATGTATTCCTTGATTTCCTGCCACCTCAGAAATGCATTTAAAAATTTTTTAAAATATATCTGACTGAAGTTATTTCTTTACAGGAAGATTAACTTGTTATATCACTTGTATGCACCATGTTTTTAGTTCCTATGTTTTGCCATACTACAAAGCACATTTGCATTTCATTTATAAAACATGGGGTATGTGGTGTACAAATGCCTATCATTTCGTGTGCTTAAAAATAATTTTATGCTTTTAATGTAAGGAGATAATATTCAAAATATTCATCTCCTTAACTAAGTTCTTCTGAATAGAAGTACTTTTCCAAAAATCTAATTCTTCCCTTTATTCTTTACCGTTTTTCTTCCAATTTAGTGTATGAAAAAGAAGAGAAAGAACTGGCTTGGTTCCATCTTTTTATTTTCCTGGGTCTCCCTCTGCTCTATTTCTATACCGCAAAGAAGCAAGCACGCTGAGATGCACTGTATAAACCAGAAAGAAGCCTACTGGGGCTCCAGTCTAATCTTGTTCATGTACTTAACAAGTGTGATATTTATCATGTAAGCTCTCTTAACGTCAGTTACCTCAATCGGCCCACAGATATGTCAAATAAAATGAGATAATGTATATTTAAACATGTTACAGATTAAAGTACTATCTAAAATATGATCCAACACTATATTAGAATGTACCACTGGAAACAAAAAACATATATTCATTTTTGAGGACTGTTTGGTACAATGCTACCTTGAATATGCGCAAATCTTTAACTACTGAACTATATATATTCATTTGGCCATAACGAAACTTAAATTACATATATTCACTTGGATATAATAAAACGTAAAGTACACGTGGAATTATAAAGCATTAATACACATAATTAGTGATAGGAACCTAAAACAAAGCTTCTACATTGGTGATAAAGTATACAATTAATATATGCTATATAAAGAGAAAATGAGAAAAATCAAAAATTTTTAAAATAGCTAAATGTAAATTCTACTCAAAAAGAAACGGCCCACTAATAACTAGAAAATAATTTTGCCAAAGACAATTCGGAAAATATACTTTTCGTAAGTCTGGTAGATATGCCCAGATTGCCACTATTTCAGTGTTTCCAAGTGGGGTTAAAAGATAGTTACAAGGGTAACTGCATTAGTTACTTGCAAGGCTGGTTTAAAACACTGATTCCTGGTTCACATCCAGATCCCTTAAATCAGAACATCTGGTAATGGACCCAGAGAATCTGCATTTTTAACATCCCCCCTCCCCACCCAAACCAAAAGTCTGCCCCTTTTATTTTTGTCAAATCATTCATTTAAAAAATATTCAGGGACTTCCCTGGCGGTCCAGTGGTTAAGACCTCACCTTCCAGCGCAGGGGGTGCGGGTTTGATCCCTGGTCGGGGAGCTAAGATCCCACACGCCTCACAGCCGAAAAACCAAAACATAAAACAGAAGCAACATTGTAAGAAATTCAATAAAGACTTAAAAAATGGTCCACATCCAAAAAAAAAAAAATCTTAAAAAAAAAAACTTCAAACAGGGACAGAAACTGAATATTCGGGCATTCGGGATTCAGAACACCATAACGCTATGACATTGTCTGAATAAAAAGTGAGAAAAACATGTTTACACGGTTACCCTCAGTTATCTTCAATTTTACTTAACAATCAGCATTAATTGCTTCAATCGACATCTCCCTCATTATCGGGCCACCTGAGGCACCTTTTTGTGTCTTTTGCTTTTAGCAGTTTTGCCACTTTGGAGCAGGTGCAGGCAAGAGAGCACCTGGCAGAGGTCTACTCAAATTCTCCTGTATGAAAAAGAAGCAAACACCTTTCTTAAGGCAAAAGGCTGTGGGAAGCTAACACTCTGATTTCCAGCATATTGAGAACCCTTCCTTAAGATACGCCTCACAAAGACAACCCCCAAACCCTAATTTACCAGCCAGCACCTCACGGCTGATAGAGCCACAAGATCAGACACAGACCCCAGGTCTCGTACTTGGGCTCACCTGGCGACGCCACTTAGCAGACAGAGTACAAGCTGGGTAAAAATACGGCGGTCCTGAGCGAGGGAAGATGCGAGGGGTTCTCTAGTCCGAAAGTCGAGGAAGTTAAGTCTCGTCCCCCTCGCGATCCACACGGCTGTTGCAGGGCCGCGGGGTCTGTCACCTCCTCTCCACCTGCCCGCCGACCCCCTGAGCTCGCCGCGGCGAGGGCTTCCCCATTTCTCTGCGTGCTCTCTTCCCAAAACAGCCGCGGAGGTTTTCATTCCCGTCCCATCTCCCGCCACACTCTCAGCCGCTTAAACATCAGAAAGACAGAAACGAAAACACCTCCGGGGACCGTCACCATCTTCCTCTTTCTCCTGCCATCACCCCAGGAGTGTCGCCAGCCCCGTACGCCGCGAGCGACTCGCAGGCGTTTCCTGGGCTCAACGATCCCGGTTTCAGCACCCCTCCCGGCGCCTCCCCCATCTTTTCCGCTCCCCAGAAACCACGCCGGGCTCCGGCCCTCCCGCGCCTCAGCCGCGGCCCGGTCGCCGCCGCTGCAGCCGCCGGCTTTCGGCCGGGGGTCCCCGCGCCGCCATCACTCGGGCTCACCTGGGCCTCGACGACGCTCGGGAGGAAGCTCAGGGTGACCAGCAGCTGCAACGCGGCCGCCGCCCCCTGCCCTGCGCCGGCCCACCCGACCCCCCGGCTCATGCTGACCTCTCCCCTCGCCGCGGCCGGCCGGGCCCCTCGGGGCCGGAGAACGGCGGGCGACCCGGGCGACGACCCAAGGGGACGACTCCCGGCGGCCGAGAGACTCCACGGTCAGAGGTCTGCACGCCCGTCGGGAGATAGGGGACGCTCTGCCTGGCGCCCGGTAGCTGTGAGTGAGGCTGGCGAGTCGAGTGCCCCCGACTTCATCCCCCCCAGGCGGCCCCGCCCCCGGCCTCCCCTGCGCCGGCCACGCCCCCTCCAACCGCGAGGCCTTTTGGGAGTTGTGGTCCCGCGCGGCCGGGAGGGCGCCTCAGGCCGGAAGGCGGGGCCGGCGGCAGGGGAACCCGGGAACTACAGCTGCGGAGACTGCCCCGCCTCCCCGGGAACTCGGGCTCCAAGGCGGCCAATGACTGGGGACCACGCGGGCCTCCAAAACAAGAGGCGGTGCGGGCGAGTGGGAGGGAGCGTCCTCCTTCGCAGCCGGCCGCCCGCTGCGCCCCCCTTGGCAGTTGCTCCTGGAAACGGAGCGAAGGGGCCCCACCCTGTGTCTTCGCCCCCTGACACCGCACGGCCTCGAGGCTCCAGGATCTACGCAAATGAGAAACGAGGGCTCTTCGACTTTCAGTGTTGGGCGCTTTCTTTGTCTCACCCACTTTTCTGTAGCCTCACATCTACCGCGGGTGCCTGGATGAGCCACCTGCGACTTGTGGAGATGGCTTCGGCTCCTCCTTCATCTTATACGCCCCAGACGTGGATGTCGTCCTCTGCCTCGTCCAGCTCCCACTCCTATGCTGACACGTACAAACATAATTATATACATAACTACATAATTACAAACACAAAGGATGGGACGTAACCCAAGTTCATAATAAAATCTGGGAATGGGGATGAACACACAGAAAATTTTGGAGTGATAACTGGGTTCAGCTCCCACCTCTAAAACATCCTAGTTTGTTATGTGGCTTTAGACAAGTTACTTAACCTCTCTGAGCCTCAGTTTGTCCGTCTATAAAGTAAACACACTAATACCCACCTGAAACATTGTCTAGCATTGCATAAGATTATAAACATAAAGGGCTTAGTATAGTGCCTAGTATAAAAGAAATGTTCAGGGCTTCCCTGGTGGCGCAGTGGTTGAGAGACCGCCTGCTGATACAGGAGACAGGGGTTCGTGCCCTGGTCCGAGAAGATCCCACATGCCGCGGAGCAGCTGGGCCCGTGAGCCATGGCCGCTGAGCCTGCATGCCTGGAGCCTGTGCTCCGCCACGGGAGAGGCCACAACAGTGAGAGGCCCGCGTACCAGAAAAAAAAAAAAAAGAAATGTTCAACAAATGACAGCTGCTATTAGCTTTATTAATATTCTTGATTTCTAGTAAACTAGTAATACATCACCTTACATTTATGCAGTGTGTATTAGTTTCCCATCGTTTGTATAACAAATTACCACAGATTTAGTGGCTTAAAACAAATTTATCATCTTACAGTTCTGGAGGTCAGGAGTCCAAACTGGATCAGCAGAGCTACATTCTTTCTAGAGGCTTTCTCTAGGGGACAATATGTTTTCTTGCCTTTTCCAGCTTCTAGAGGCCAGGCATTCCTTAGCTCATGACCGTGCATCACATTGTCACGTTTCACTCCCTCTGCCTCTGTTGTCACATGCCTTCTCTTTCTAAACCTAACTCTACCGCCTCCCTCTTGTAAAGATCCCTGTGATTCCATTGGGCCCAGCAGATAACCAAAAATAATCTTCCCAACTCAAAATCCTTAACATAATCACATCTGCTAAGTCCTTTTCACCACATAGGGTAACATACTTTCAGGATTTGGGGATTAGGGCATGGGCACCTTTGGGGGGCATTAATCAGCCTACATATATCTTATGAAGCACTTTCATAGTGCAAAATGAAAATGCAGGGTCCTGGCTCAAAAAATAGTAAGAATTTCAAGAGAGCGACAGTAGAGCATTAAGGCCAAGGGCAGTGCCCTTCTGAGCACAGGTCACATGTCCAGAAGCCAGCCCTGCTGTCCTATTCCTTTTCAGCACCTCTTTCTCCTGCCTCCAAACATGTCTAGCTCATCCCTAACTTAAAAACAAAAATAATTTTTACTTGATTCTTCCAACTACTTTTCTATCCCTCCTCTTCTTTTCTTTGCCAAACCTTTATTTTCTATCCTCCCGTTTCCTTCTTTCCCTCATTATAAACGTACTCTGTCCCCATTAGTCTGCTAAAGCTTTGCTGTTATCAAGTCCAGTGGACTTTCCTCAAGAGTCCTTGTCTCTGTTCAGCGTTTTATGTCACTGGTAACACATACATCCTGGGATGATGTTATAAAAATTGCTGGGAAATTTTTGTTGTTGTTAAAAAGAGTGGATTATAAATTTACTTGTTATAAAATCTCAGGTCCTTGAATAGATCTTTACTCTTGGGTCCTCTCTTGGATGCGCAGTTTGAACCTTTCCATCCCTAATGCTATGGTTGGAAGTTGTAACAGAAGTAAATTGTATGGGCTAATTCCCTTTGGTTGCAACCCACAAAAATCAGCTCTAGCTAAAAAAAAATTTTTTTTTAATAATAGCAGATTTTAAAAGTGTGGAATAGCTTATAGTACTGAGGAAGATTTCACCACTCACACCTCCGGAAATGCAAGTCCATCAGGACAGCATTCAGGGAGTCCAAGGAGAGTCTTACCTAGGACACTGCCATTGGACTGATCACTTCCAGTCATTTTAGTCATTGTCCCTCCTATCAAAATTCAGATTTCTTTTAGAGTTTATCTTCAGGGGAGGGAGCAAGCTCTTTGATTGACAAGCCCACAATACTGCACAAAATGAGCAAGACGTAATTACACAGATGAACAGTGAGTGCTACTGCCTTTAATCATTAAAAGAGGGGAAAAAGACGCTGGTCAGACAAAAGTGACAGATGTCCCCTTCAGGAAGTCATGGTTTTATTCGAGTACTCCCTTTGCACATACTTTTTTTTTTAACCTCAGCATATATTCACACATTCATTAAATTGTCCCAGATGTCCTGAGTGCAGAAAACCAAGAAGCACACCTCTGGACACCGGCAGCCCAGAAACAGCAACAATATGCATCCTGTAGTTCATGTAATTTTTGATTTACTTAACATCACCTGGATTAGATGAACCTAATTACCTGGAACTAAGGTGTAGAAAAGTTGACCACGTTGCTCAAATGGAAGAATTTATAGACCTTCCAGATCTATTAATCTGAGAAGGGCCAGCTAGGAAGTCAATCAGTACAACTCCCTCATTGCAAACAATGACAATTTATAATTGATTTGGTTGGGACAGATTATTGGAGAGGGTTAACCTGGAGGAACAATCTTAGTATAGATAGTAATTCCACTAGGGCCAGCTATGACTATATTTCCTGTGATTCTTAATGGAACCAAAATCAGAATCAGCCGTGGATGACCTCAGCGTGCTTCAGCTTTTCGAATGAATAGTGTCAAAATGTGCTTAAGTCAAGATTAATAATAGTCACATTTGAAATGTAGTCACACTGACACCACGCACAAAAACAGATTTATATTTATTGCAGATTCCGTTTTGCTCTCAAGTACAAATGATTCCCCCACCTCTCGTCCCTTTGTTTCACCTCCCCTACTTTCCACTCCACATCTCTCTTCTTCTCTGAGTCGATGGCCGAATTATCTCACCCCTGTAGTCTGGACTGAGTCATCCAGAGTCTATGGCGGTTCCTATCACATTCATTTAGCACCAACAATCTGCTGCTCTGTATTAGAAGCTAGCTTTTCCTGTGAATATGTGTATTATAGACATCTAGTGTGTAAAGTTGTAGAGGACTAGCTCTTCTTATTCTATATTTTCTTTAATAACTATCTCAGCTCCTATGAACAGTCATTGACAAAGATTTGTTGATTGACTGGTTAATATTATTTAGGATCTTAATTTATCTTGGAAGACGTCTGTCTCAGAACCAATCCTGGGTATGGTGCCCTCTGAACATTTCCTATGGACAGCTGGGACCTGGCTTCCTTGGGCCGGAACGTTTCTGGTGAAGGCAATAAGATGAAACTGGCAGCCTTTCTTTAAGGCAATGGATGACAGTTCTTTAGAAGTGTATTGGGGGATTAGCAAAAAAAAAACTGAGGGAGTAACACACTTGTCAGAGGACTGGTTGAGACCAGTTACTGGAAATTTACTACGTCAAGAGTTCTGTTTTTTTCTCAAGCACTTCTTGATATGTCCATAGCTAATGGTTGAAAAAAAGGCTTGAGAATTTTCTTAGATTACTGTAATGCTTAAGAGATTTTGTGAATTAACCAAATTGCACTAAGTATTTACATTTCTGAGATATCATCAAATTGTGTTTCTTTGATTTTTTTTTTTTATAGCTTGGTTAACTTGTGACTTCTAATGAAGGAGGAAATTGTTGATGAATGGCTCAAAATAAAAGTTAAGGGAAGGGCTTCCCTGGTGGCGCAGTGGTTGAGAGTCCGCATGCTGATGCAGAGGATGTGGGTTCGTGCCCCGGTCCAGGAGGATCCCATATCTGTGGAGCGGCTGGGCCCATGAGCCATGGCTGCTGAGCCTGCGTGTCCGGAGCCTGTAAAAGGCAAGGGAATGGGGTAGAAATTTACACACCAGTAATTTTCACTCCTGATAGTAAGCTGAATTGTGATTAATGCACCTGCTGAATAATGACAGCAATCTGGTGTGTTTAAACAACTGTATTTGTAGACAGCACTGGTGTGTTAACAACTGGCCATGGCATTTTTTTAAGTGGATTTCTACCTGTAACTTAGTTATAAAGGGAATTTTTGCTTGATGATAGGATTTCTGAATTTTACTGAGGGCATTTCTTCCCCTTTACTTTCACAATAGGGATGAAAAGTAATCAAAACAAAAGAACTTGGCTGGCCTGTGGCTTGTTAGTTACCTACCTAAAGTGTTCATTGCTTTTTCTTGAATATTTACTCAGCTGTGACACTCAAGTATTTTCACTTAACAGCATTAAAGCTGATAAACTTAAGTTAGAATTATTTCCATTTCTAAAGGAGTTTACAGTGATACATGCAGTTTGGATAAAACTTTATTTTATATAACAAACATATTATGGTATTGTGCTAGAAGTTTATATATCATGTGATCAGGGGAAACACCTATTAAATGTAAATAATTGGAA